CCTGCACACTATTCAAGAAATGACAAAATATAGTAGTAAGTGGCTCACATATCCAATCTTTAACCGCCTTCAAAACCCTTGGGGAAATATTATCTGGCCCAGGAGCCTTATCGTTTTTTAAACTTCCCAATTTTTTCTTAACCAGCTAAGAATTAATGCAGTCATCTTGTTTGATCTCGTTTCCATTTCTCAACTGTTCAAGATGTGGAATACTGCTTAAATCTTTGTTAGTAAAAACCGAAGAAAAAGCAAAATTTAATAACCCAGCCACCTCATAATCATCAGATACTAGCCTTCCTTTATCATCCCTCAAGGGTCCTACCCCCATCCTAACATTTTGTTTACCCTTAATGTATTTAAAGAAATCCTTACTGTTAATTTTTACATTTTCAGCCAACCTTTTCTCCTACATCCTTTTGCTACTTGCCCAAAGGTTCACATATAGCTATTCCTAGTTTTGGACTACTGACTAAAGGAAAAGCAGGAGTTGACAGCACTTGCTATCATGAGAGCTTTGAACCAAATAACGGGATTGACTTGTCACTCTTGTAACATACCTACAGCTTACTGTGTGAACCATGGGCCTTCTGAACCCAGTATACTAACTACTAAGCCACACTTGGCTCCTAGAAAAGTGAGAGAATATAAACTTTCGATAACAAATAAAATTTTATGTTATACTTTTATTTTAAACATTCAATTTACAATCAAAATTATTATTATTTTTTTTAACAGATAAACTTACAAGTTTCTCTTACTTATACATTTCTAACACAGATTACAATTAAAAATTAAAACAGAAATTAAAATTATATTTTTCTTTTAATTTTATTTCTTACTTTAAACATTTCTTTTTTCATCTTAGAATACTAAAACCATGATGATATATCTGTCAAGAAAACACCTTCAATACTAAAACCATGATGTCAAGAAAACACCTTCACTGATATAATCTTTATTATATTCTTTTTTCAGCTTTTCATTTGTAATTTGAATAAGTTTCTATTTTGCTATTTTCTTCATCTGTTGTACAATAAGTAGAACACATCAATGCCTTTTCCTCTGTTTGTGAGTTTGTTCTTTTCGGAATTTCCAATCTGTTAGTTGGCATATGTTGCATCTTGTTTTGTTTTTTTACAGCTTTCTCATTGGAGTGTATCAGTGCTTTACTGTTATTATCAGTCTACTTATGGAGAATAGAATCTTTAACTTTAAGAAGACAGGTTATGCGATGATAATGTTGTATTTGAACAAGTAGTTGCAGCTAAAGTTCATATGTATGGAATCAGTATAAGGGGCTTTACCTTGTTAGAAAAAACAACAACAAAAAACTGGTTATCATAAGAGGATTAATATTATGTCCTTCTATTAGTGACACTGACACATAAAAAAAGACTGCAAGCATATACACAACAAAAAACTATTTATCTGTTATCCTGCATTCAGGAAGTAAAACAAACTAGAACAGTTGAAGTTATTATTTAAATGTAAGCAATGTATTATCGGTCATTTAAAGCCATAAAATCACCATTACTCTCTAAAGATAACTTGAATTGCTAAAATACTTCCAAACCTGAAAAACAATTTTTTAGCACCAACTTCAAACCAGTCATCTAACATAGGGTTACATAAACCAAACTCCAGTGTAGCTGCCATTACCCATAAACATTTGTGTATGAAAGAAACTACACATTAAGGGAACATCTAAAATACCTGTGTTTTTCTAAAAAACATCAGGACATTCCTTTCTCATTTTCTTGAGTAAAGTAACAGCACCACCAGGTTTCTGACTCTTAACTTCCTGTCAATTTGCAGAAATCACAACTAATAAATCACTAATACTATTACCTGACAATGAAAAAAATAAATAAGTAAACAATTAAAAGTTTATTTGTGAACAGAACAAAAAAAGAGGCTTTTTCTTCTAGTTGGTTTTATCTGTCTATACCATTTGTATTTTGATAAATGTATTTTTTTAGTTCATGAACTACATACTGATTCAAATAAACACTAACTGGTTCCCATTATAAACTTTTAAAAATAATATACTTTCTGAAAGACATCCTTCGAGGATGAGGCAATTTTTTGTTTCTTTTGTAACTTAATTTGATTATACCTAACTGTATATATAGGAGTAACAAGAGACAAAACTAATTAATATAAATAAATCACATACATAAAAATATCTTTTACTTAATGGAGTTTCAAAAAATCACCATTTCCTTAAAAGCAAAAAAATTTGCTTGCTTCATACATTTCTGCAAGAGACATTCTGCACTAACCATTCCCAGTTTTGAAGTGATAGAATAGAGGGGAAAGCAGAAAGTTCAAAAGCACCCAAAGCCACCTCTTGTGCCATTCTATTTATGGCTCCAAAGTTCAAGATATGATTTTACAGTAATGGGACACTAACCATGGACCCTCAGATTCACAGAGGCACATTAAACACTAGGCTATTCCAAGTCTAAGTAAAAAGTTTTATTGGGGGTGCCACTTAATATTTACCTTGTTAGGCTAATATAGTTTATATTACATGTAAAAGTTTTATTTTGTGAACACAATCTTTAGCTCAGGGAACATTTAAACATGACTGGAAAAATTGTTTTATAAAAATGAATTTTAAATTGTCTTAATAAAACATTTTGTTTGAAACATGTTTAGTCATCAAAAGTTAAGTGTTTCAACAAAGCTACTTCAGAAGTTGTCTGGTAAGTTTCTTGACTGTAGTTTGTTTTTGAGTGGTGTTCCATGTATTGTCCCTGATCTTTGTTCAGATCAGATTTTAGTTTTAATAAAAATTCTTATATTTGTGTGATCCAAGAGTGGCTTGTTTTCTTCTTTTTAACTTCATAATTTATGTAATATCTATTGTTAAAAGCATAGCTAAAAATTACAAAGTTCTTTGGCTTCTTACATCTGCCTGAACTTCTTTATTTGTTGTTAATCAGAAACCTATACAATTTGCTATTTATGCTTTGCCAACTATGGGTATTGAGACCCAGTTTTTAACATTATAAGCCTTAAGATTTATCCTCTGGATGTAACAACTAAAACCTCAAACATTTTAATGATAAATAACTTTTATACAGTACTACTGCAGCTGTTTACAAACTTTGAAAGTACTAAGAAATAGGCATATACAAAGACTTGATCCATTAATGTGTGTTCTTCCAAGAGCAAAAAAATAAAAAAATATCCCCCTCCATAAGGAACTTAAAACTTGGAGAAAAACAAATGGAAAAGTAATAAAAAAAACCTTTAAATGATAATTCACTTTAATTATAAAAACTTTTTTTAATTCTAACCCCCTAACATGAGTTCTTTGCAAAGATTGACTGAAAACGCATTATGTGGTATGAAACATTTTGACTGTTGCCTTATAAATCTGGCTAACAAATTGCATCAATATTACCTGGTTATCAAGATCGTTGTAATGCAGATGTGACATCACAGCAGAACTTTGCAGACAATGTTTTGAAGAATAGTGAAAACATGTTGATTCATTTAGGTCTAAATTATAAACAATTTGTTCAAACCTGTAAAATGAAAGAGGACATATGGCATAAGATTTCAGTTACTCACAAAATGAAGAGCTTCAAAGTCTCATTGTAGAAAAGGACAGTAACATAATTAAAGAAACTGTACTGCATGGAGGGTGACTGTGGATAATAATGACTGAAATCTTGTTAGAATTTTAGGCAAATTTTATACTTAAGTTAGACAGGTGCATACTTTATACATTTACTGCAATTTGTAAAAACAAGTGAAGGTTCAATACTTTTTGTGATATGATATCTAGTGAGAAATTTATTGAATTAGTGTGACGCAATCCTCGATATTTTTGATGAAGTTTATTAAAAACATGTAATAAAAACAGTTAATTATTACTTATAATAGTCCATTTTAACTTAAGTCTACCGGGCCAAGAGCTGATCCAAATCTTTTATTATGTAATTGGCAAATTATACATGATGTGAAATGTAAAAAGAAAATTACAAGATGAAAAATGAGATTTCCCATGAAAATACTTGCAGTTTGATATTTATTTAATGCTTTAAAACTTTCTTAATGATATAGTATTCCTGATATTAGTTTCTTGTCAGATTCTGAACATCAAGGATGTAAAGATACTGTGCTTTTTCATTGCAGTGAAAAAGAGTATCCAAGCTAATTAACTGTGAATTTTAACCTTTTCACTATGGCCAGGACATATATTTCCCAGCCACAGTGAATGGGTTAAAACTAACTGTTAATAGTTGATTAAACAATAGTTGATTCCTATTAAACAACCAATAACCCATTATTTTGAAGAAATTCCTTTCATCATGAATGTCCACATTTAGCCAGGTTTCAGTTATTCCCATTACATCAAAATCCTCTATTTCAAACAGTGCTCTAAAAACATCCATTTTATTTCTTATACTTCTAGCATTACAATAATAACAGTTTAGCTTACCATTAAAACTACATCTGTACCTTGTTACCACACTATACCCCTTTCTACATTTTATTTTTCATTATTCTGGCCCTCACCACTGTCTAATCCTAGTTTAAGGTTGCCCTTATTACTAATACGAATATAAAGATTATATTCATAAAATATTATTAGATGTAATAGTATATACATATCAAATACTGAAATGTACAAGTATAGTACACAAGTTACATGCACCACTTCTATATGTGTACACTGTTAGTATGATGTAAGCTGAACAGGAAAACACAAGTTAGTTTTATAAATGTAGATATAAAATACTCAAACAAATTTAAATAGTCAAGATTTTATAATTAAATTGTTTTTCAGCTCAAATTAAACAATATTTTAGGGGCATTAATTAATTAATTACTACAGTTATTCACTAAGTTTCAAGGATAATATGCCTTTACTTACACAATCCATGAAATGTGTGTACATTCAGATTCAAAGTGGTCAAAACTAGTCTCAGCCAATGTTTCTGAAAAAGACACATTTGGTAAAAAGACATGCTCAATAACAAATACAAGACCTTTGAATTCATCTGTGGGGTATATTTTTGACCATTCCGCACACAACATTATGGAGGATTCTGTCTATTTCTCAGGCAGTGCAAGACCAAGACTATAATATGAAAAAATGACAATTTTTTTTATACAAAAACAAAACATGCCAACAAAAAAAGAAATGAGACCTGAATAGTTTCAATTTATCCAAAAAATAATTGTTAAAGATAGACTGTGTTTGAAATATGAGTACTAAGTACCTTAGGTCTGATTATGTCATTTGTATTACTAAAAATGTTTCCCATATTGTATTAACTAGAAAACCCATATCTCTGTTTAAAATTTTGTCTATTTTATGTATTCCAAGTGATTCCCTGATATTTTCCCAGATTTCAACAAATATACAGTCAATAACTGAAATGTTTTAGTATTAAAGATAAAACACATCAAGGTAAAAGATAAACATGTGGCATCATTTAACATAAAATGTCTGTTTACACAATTTGAAGAAGTGATCTAAATGTTCTGTCTGAGAAAAATGACAAAAAAATAATTACATCTTAGGTTGAAAAAAAAATTTATATTAATCATGATAAAAGTATGTTTTTATAAATCTTATTTTCAATTTATCAATGAATGTTTTCAACAGATTGAGAAGTTCTCTATGCCCTCTGCAATATTTTCATGGATAATTTCAAAAGAAATTATTTACCAAACTTAGTTTCTTTTTCTTTTCTTTTTTAGTTCTCATGTTTTATCTGTGCATAAAAAAGCTGTCACTTTTCATATCATAATCAAAAGTAGCACAAAGCACTATTAGAACTGAAAAGTTCGTTGCACGGTGATTACATAGTGTCGATGGAGGTCTAAGGGAGGTTCTGTAGGATTTAGACCAGGACTTCTTGGTGGCCAATCTATGACCACAATAGTTTGTTGTCTAACAGAGTCCATCATAATCCTGTCAATGCAACATGAGACACTATTCTGCTTCTGGACAAAGTCTGACCCAACTGCATCCATAAGGGGTTATACAACAGAGCTCAATACAAAACCAATATATTACTGGGCAGTTAATCTGTCATCAAAGTGGACATTGTTAAAAGGCTTTAAGCTAGAGTAGATATAGATGCATATATTGTTAGAATATCTGAGCCTGATCATCAGCACAAACAAAATTAAGTTCACTTTTAAGAATGTACATACATGTTTTCAGAAATATGAAATAACAGCACACACGCATATACACATATTACTACTTTTATGAATATAGATATACATTTTTAGAAAGAATGTAAGTAACACAGCAATAAAATAAATACATTACTACTTACATATACAAACAGCATGATGTAAAACTGCTGTACTCATAGATGGCATTAGAAAGCACAGGATACAAGAACTGTAACTGTTTGTGTCAACCATGAATTATTAGACCCATAAAAATTAACATAAACTCTCTGAATGATGTAATCTGTGGGGTTTTAAACTTATAGTTGCATAATTATGTTCCTTAATGTTGTATAAGTTTGGTTTGTGTTGAATTTCATGAAAAGCTACTCAATGGCTATCTATGCTAGCTGCCCCTAATTTAGCAGTGACAGACTGAAGGAAAGGTAACTAGCCAACACTACCCACCACCAACTCTTGGGCTACTCTTTTACCAACAAATAGTGGGATTGACCTTCACATTATGAAACACAAATAGATCCCCCC